TATGGTAGAGTGGTGACATACCCCTTCACGGCCTGTGGACTGCTTAGGTTGGAGCGTATACAACGTGCTGCCACTAGATTTCTTGTCGGACTACATGGGACTAGCTATGAAAGTCGTCTGCAGTCTACTGGTCTGCTCCCAGTTGCGTATCGGTGCCACAGGGGAGATCTCATCTGTTTGAGTAAGATCCTGAGAGGTGATATGGACCCGGAGTTGCGGCAGCACTTCCCGTTACGGACAGAGGAACGCATGTGAAGGCACGCTCTCGCGTTGCGTAAACTTCAGTCAGTTGGTCTTCCGTTAGTCTACCTACGCTAGCGGAGATCAACAACTCTCTGGAACTCTCTTCCGGCGGCTGCGGTGGAGAAGAAGACCGACGCTACTTTCAAACACCTTAAGGGACTATGGAGGAACGAACACCTGTGATCGAACCTTCGACCCAGTGGTGATGGGGCTTACACGGGTATCCTGCCCTCTACCCTCAATTCTGAAGACTAAAGACTGAACACTATATTCGTAAGAACGCTCAACATGGCCACAACCAAACACGACAGAGTCATGCGCCCCCGTCCCCTTATTTCGCCTCATGACCCAAACCAATGTGCATGAGTTTATTATGATTTTTATGTCGCATTCTGTAACGATTTTTTCCACCCACCACATTCTTATTTGATTTGTGATGTAGAAGCCGGTGGATGGATCAACAAGAATGACCTTATTCGTTGTCCTTTTCTCACAGAGTCTGATAATGATATATTCGGTCAATGGCTTAGTTTTATTGAATCAAACTGCACAGAACCAATAGTAGAATAACATGAAGTTACCGGAGGATTTGATTCAATTTCAAAGAGAGAATTCGTCGTGTATGGAGAAAATGAAGCGTGCAACAAATAATTAGGTTGTGACAGTTTCCAACCGAGTCACAACCCCGGAGGCTCGTGCTGAGATGAGCTAAGCGCGATGCCTGAAACAAGCTCGAAAAGATGGATTGCGCTATATCGTCGTAAATGTAAAATGAAAATGGTCTGACCATCTACCTGGTGGCTGAGTGGGTAGTATGCTTGCGTTCCATCTGTGAGGTTTGGGGTTCAATCCCCAGTTGTTTTGGTGGATTCGGACTGCTGATAAGGCCAAACCAGGTCAAAAGAGTTATTCAGTGCCTCCTGGCTTTCTAGTTCACTTTACTCCATACATGACGCATTACACCTTTTGAAATAGTAGAATTGTATGCAATGCCCGATACAATGTCTAACTGGGGAAGCCAATCGTAGCTTAGGTCTAATATCCAGCCATTGTTGCTAAGTATCTCAAGCGCCTGAGTTGGAAAGTTCAGAAGGGCCAAAGCTTGAGTGTTTTCATTACCCGGCGCCAAGTCATTGTTTCTTTTTCTAAATTTGATATGTATGAACCACCACTTCAAAAGTTTACATTTGTTTACTTTAAGATTTCCTTAAATGAAATTTATGATTCCCGTTAATTTTTTCATCGTTGAACTTAATTCTGTTAATGTATGCATTTGTATTACTGTTTATATTCATTTGTTCTTCTTGCTCGTTATAACCCGTTCAACTTATTCGTTTATTNCATCTGCATAAACATGATCGAACATATCAATAAATTATGGGGAAATGTCTGAGTTATGGAATGCAATTCAACTTCCAATGTGTGTCTGTGATAAGAGAGAGAAATAGGGAGAAAACAGCAGAATAATAATCCAATAACCATTCGATAAGTAAGGAAAGTTTGTCACATTTGATATTGTCGTTATATAGATGAACGCACACGTAG